TGATTCAGCCACTGCTGGTCAGTTTCAGCAGCGGCTGAATCAGGACGCCTGGGGCAGAGCAGCTTGGGTGCTGCTGGGTTGGTCCTTTGTACTGCATTAACTAATTAATATCTTTATTCAGGCCCAGAGAGACATTGTCAAACATGCAAATAAATGCCAGTTCAGCAGATTCTCTCTGTAATTGGGTGGTGAAATTCCTTTGTAGAAAAATGGCTATTTTTAAACCCATTATAGAATGGCCAGCGAGGTTAAAATATTCCCCTACAGGTTTATGTGTGTTAACATTTTTTATGTCTGATGTGTGTCCATTTGTCCTTTGTCTCAGATACTGTCTGAAACAGCTAATATACATGGCCTGGGACATTGTTGGCACTTGATGGCATATATCATATTATAGGACATGCAGTTGTATGAGCCCCTGAAATTGTGGGTTATGTGGTTAGGTCCTGTGATGGTGTCACTTGCATAGATATGTGGCTAGAGTTGGCAACGGGGTTTGTTGCAGGGTCAGGTTCTTGGGCGAGTGTACATGAGATATGGTGTGTGGTTGCTAGTAAGAATTTTGTTCAGGTTGGGGGGTTGTCGATAGGTGAGGATTGGCCTGTCTCCCGAGGTCTGTGAGAATGAGGGATCATTTTCCAAGATAGGTTGTAAATTGTCAATGATGGAGGGGTTTAAGCTGAGTACTGTAGGGGACGACCAGTGATATTCTGTTGTTTTTCTTGTTGGGCCTGTCTTGAAGGAGGTAATTCTTGATACTTGTCTAGCTCTGTCAGTGTTTCCTCACTTCCCCAAGTGGGTATTTACATTTTAAGAATGCCTGATAAAGATCTTGTAGGTGTTTGTCTCTGTCTGTGGGATTGGAGCAGAGCTGATTGTATCTTAGGGTTTGACTGTAGACAACTGATCATGTGATGTGTCCTGGGTGGAAGCTAGAGACATGTAGGCAAGAATAGCAGCCAGTCGGTCGGTCAGAGTAAACTCAATATTTTAAAGAAATTGTAAATATTTACATGTTTATGAACATTTATCTAGGTATTGTAGAAGCATACTCAGACCTGGAGTGTGAAGTGGTTTGGCACCCAAATTTCTGCTCCTCAGAAACAGGAGAATTCAACCTGTGTGTACGTGAGGGAAACACAATAAAGCTAAAATGCGTTGCAAAGGTAATGCTTAACCCAAATGGTATGGTTGGGCACATTTTGAAAATTTTCAATCAAAATTTCCTTGTTTTAAATTTATTTTAACCTCTCATGTTCTATGTCTTGTACATTGATCAAAATAGTAGAAATTCTGTGGCTCATAGCGCAGACCATGATTCCTTCTCCTCTCTGGTTGTGAAACCTAATCACAGTTCACAATTTTTCTGGAAATATGGCTGTAGGAAAGGAAAGGAAAGGAAAGGAAAGTGAAGGTGTGTTGTATTTAAATTGATTGGTTTGTGTATCTGGGAGGTTTATAGAACTGCTAGTAATCTTTGCTGAGTGAGGACTGGTGGCTGCTCTAGAAGGGAAAGTCTTTTCTTCCTGGATCATTGAAGGGTCTATGAAAAGTGTAACTCAGATGAAATCTGTGCTGGTGGAAGAATGTTTAGAGTTATTTCATGTTGCTTTCACCAGTAGAACACTAGACTGATTCTCCTAAGTGTGATAGCAAACAAGACAGAGCCTCCCATTACATTTTCCAAAGACTTATTTTTTTCTGAGCTTGGAACGTCTTATTCTCACTACAGTTAGAGCCAGGTTGACAGGAGGGTAAAGGGGGCAATTGCACAGGGTCCCAGTGGAACTATGGCAGCCCTGACCCGGTCGTTTTAAATAGCGCTGCTGTAGCAGTGTGGCAGCTGTGGGGAGCCCTGTTGTTTGGATCCATGGAGCAGCAGGGTAGGAGGGAGACCCAGAGGTTTCTGCTGCTTGAAGCCCAGAGCTCAGATCAGCAGAGCGGCATCAGCAATGCAGGAGGGGCAGGAACTCCTGGCTGCTTTGAACTCCTGCTGCCCATCTGCAGAGCAGCAGGGCAGGGAGAGGGGGGCAGAATGTGTTGGGAGGGGCGAGCCAGGCTGGGAAGAGAGGGAGGGAGCCGAGCTCTGGGAGTAGAGGGGAGAGCCAGGCAGGGGAATGCTGGTAACTAGAGGTGAAGAGGGTGGAAAAACCTGGGAAGGCAAAAGAGCAGACGAGTGCAGGCAGGAGGAGATAGGGATGGCGGGGGGAAAGAAGATAGGGGGCGCAGTATCCCTAGAGGGGCAGAAAGGGGAAGGGGGGTGGGAGGGGCATCTCCAGGCAGGTGGGAGGGGATTGGTGCAGTGACCGACCAGAGGGTCCTCTAATTGAGGGGTGGTGCTTGGGGCTTCTCTGGGCAGGGAGGGAGGTGGTTTGTAGCTCCCTCCAAGGGAGGAGTATAAGAAGCACTTGTGCCAGGGCCTGGAATTCTTGTCAGCAGGTCTGGTTGGGGAAGATGAATTGGTACAGCTAGTTACAACATGGTCTGTGCTGTAGCATACTGAGATCTAGAAAAACAATTGTAATCCCACTCTTGCTAATTTCTTCTATGTGTATACAATAGCTGACACCTAGGGTACGTCTAAACTACATGCCTCCGTCGACGGAGGCATGTAGGTTAGCCAGATCGGCAGAGGGAAATGAAGCCGCGATTAAAATAATCACGGCTTCATTTAAATTTAAATGGCTGCCCCGCTCTGCCGATCAGCTGTTTGTCGGCAGATCGGGGCAGTCTGGATGCGTCGCGCCGACAAAGAAGCCTTTCTTGATCAGCACAGGTATGCCTCGTGAAACCAGGTTTACCTGTGCCGATCAAGAAAGGCTTCTTTGTCAGCGTGGCGCGTCCAGACTGCCCCGATCTGCCGACAAACAGCTGATCGGCAGAGCGGGGCAGCCATTTAAATTTAAATGAAGCCGCGATTATTTTAATCGCGGCTTCATTTCCCTCTGCCGATCTGGCTCATCTACATGCCTCCGTCGACGGAGGCATGTAGTCTAGACACACCCCTACAGTTGCTCACGCCAGCCAATTGGACTTGCAGGGCTCAGGCTGTGGGGCTGTTTCGTTGCTGTGTAGATGCTTGGATTCAGGCTGGAACTTGGGCTTTAAGACCTTGAAAAATGGGAGGATGCCCTCCACTTCAGATGAGGAGGCATCATAAATATACAGATGTCTGTCAGATCAGAGATCAATCTACAGAAACAGAGGGGGAGTGGTAGATGGTATTGAGGACTGTGATTAGATCCTGCATATCAGACAAAGTGAGGAGAAGGAATGCATATGCTATACTGCTTTGGTCAAGCCACCAAAAACAATTTAGCATGTAAATAGGGGCATAATTTATTTTTGTTCACATAATTATCTCTACACCGCTTTAAAAAAATCCCCCAAAATATCAACTTTTGCAAAAACTTCATACCTGAATTTGATAGCCATGTGAAACTTTAACTGAAGTACAGTAAAATACAGGAAAAGTATTAATTTTCAAAGGAAAATAAAACATGTTGTATTGTTTTGATCTTTGTGGTTTGTCAAAAAAATAGAAAAATTTTGTTACCTTTTTACGTTCTTCTTCAGTGTTTAATTTATGTCTCTTCACAGTTGTCTTATTGTAAAATCAAAAGAAAATTAAGATATGTTGAATTATTTATTTACACTCAGAGATATGTTTGCTTTCTTTCTTTCTTTCTTGTTAGGTTGGACCAACCAGTGTTCAGTTTATGGAACAAAGGATATCTTTCCGTTGTGCTCCTCTAGGTTTAACTACTTGCAAGATTGCCATTCTTCAAAACACAGGACATAATCATGCATACTTCCAGGTGAACTGAATTACATAGCTGTACATTTTTTTTCTTGTTTTGGACAGCTTTTCATATCTTACTAGAATTCATGTTCTTTCTGGTATACTAATTAATTTATTTTCCTTTTGGTTGCTTTAATTTGTATTGTACAAAATATAGTTATACTTATTAGAATCCTCTCCTCTTTAGGACTCATGGGAGTATGTGGCTAGTTTGTCTTGTACTCTATTTTTAGCTTGCTTTCATTGTGGGTTGAAACTCTGTAATCTGAGACTCCCTGGTCCGGCAACATCCGTCCTCCAGCAGGACCACAGATGTCCCAGGACCAGAGAGTCCGGGTGGAGGCTTGGCAGCTGGGCTTCCCACAGCTGGGCTGTCCTACATATCACATCTGGGCAGCCAGGCACAACTCAGAAGGCTTGCCTGGGAGGGCCAGGAGCCCAGCATGCCTCAAGTGGGGCTGCCCGGCAGGACCAGGAACCCAGTGCGCCACAGCAAGGCTGCCTGGTGGGACCAGGAGCTCAGCATGTCGTAGCAGGGCTTCCTGGAGGGGCCAGGAGTCCAGCACACAGGGAGCTGGGCTGAAGCTGTACTGCCCGGCTTAGCAGGGAAGGAGGTGGGGGGAATGGCAGTACAGCAAGGCTAGCAGCAAGGGGGAGCTAGCCAGGAGGCTGGTCCAAGGCCTGCGCAAAGTCGGTAGCAGGAGAGTCAGATATGACTTCTCCTGGTCAGGCAAAATCCCTCATCCGGGACCTGTCAGGTACTGAAGGTGCTGGACCAGGGAGGTCCATCCTGTAGTAGTTCTACCTGTATTAGCTCAGGCCCTCCTGACCACACTGAGTGTGAGATAATACACTTATTGCAACACTGTGCTTATTAAAAATAAGAAAACAGTTTAAACTTACATGGCCTCTGAGAAGTTAAGCAGACATGACTGGATAGGAGTCTTATTAACATTTCTACCGTGAATAACTCACAAATAATTTTAACTCAGCTTGTATTTATCATGAGATTTTTTTTTTAGTTGTAGTAAGTCATAATTTTCTGGTGTTCAGGAGTGCTTGTAAGGAAAAAAAAAAATTCCAAGGACCAAGTTTTCAAAGCTGGGTTTGCAGATTTTCAATACTTCTGAAAATCAGATCATTTATGTGGGTTCCTGGGTATAGATTTAGGAGCTTAATTAAAAAGTTTGTCCTAAACTTTTAGGACCAGGTTAAACTCATAGAGTAGGATGGTTACATTAACTAGATTGTAAATGGTTCTGTATCAGAAATATTTTTCCCAAATTTTGTAAAAGCATACATTTACAGCATTATTAATATTTTATAATGATTATTTGTATTTGAAGGTTCTTGATTCGAACCCCCTGCTTGGAATGACTATTACTCCTTCTCAGGGGGTAGTACCTGTTGGAGGCCACACTGATCTCAAAATCTACTTCATTCCCAATGCAGTAATGAAATTTGATACCAGAGTGGAGGTATTTTAAAAAATTCTGAACATTTGAGTATTATCTCACTAAAAGTATGTGTATGTCTATCTATACATCTCGCTCTCCATTAATTCAATCCAGCTATATATTTTTTCTAAAAATGTTCATTACTGGTACTGCAGTTTATCAAAAGGAATATCTGTTTTTATATTTTTCTTTAAAATCAATTTTAACTGCTCTCTTATTTATATTCAAAAAGTATATTGTATTTGAGGTGATGATTTTGTTATGAATACATATGGATGTGAAGAGTGTCCCTTTTTTAAAGTTTTGTTGGAATAGAATCAAATGTTTTATCAAAGATAAACCATCTACTATGTAAATAGGTCTTTTCCAAGGATTGAAAGAAATGACAATTATAGGAAAGATTTAAAAGTGTCAAATGTGATTGATTTACTCTATGGGTGTGAGTGTGAGAGTAAGGAGCATGAATTTATCTTTCCAAATGCATATTTTAGGTTATTTTATGCCATGTCATTTGTTTGAAAAAACTATTAGAATTTATTGTTTAGCAAATACAGAAATGGTAGACTAAATCTTAATAACTGACTTTCTTAAGCCCAATTCTGGGGTGTGACTTTCATTCTTCTAATAACATGGATCTCTCTTCATTCTGTATAGGATGCTGTGATTAAAGACCATTAAAATGTATTCATATAATAATTATAGCAATATTAGTAAAGAAAGAAAAAGATCAAAAATAGGTAATCATTGTTTAGGGATAATCACAGAAACATGATTTACTAAAGTGTATATTCTGTATTAGAATCATAGAACACTAGAACTGGAAGGGACTTTGAGACATTGTTGAGTCCAATCCCCTGCCCTCACGACAGGACCAAGCACCGTACAGACCATCCCTGATATATGTCTATCTAACTTGCTCTTAAATATCTCCAGAGTGGGAGATTCCACAACCTCCCTAGGCATTTATTCTAGTTAGGAAATTTTCCCTAATGTCCAGCCTAAACCTCCCTTGCTGCAGTTTAAGCCCATTGCTTCTTGTCCTATCCTCCGAGACCAAGGAGAACAATTTTCTCCATCTTCCTTTTGACACCTTTTTATATACTTGAAAACTGCTATCATGTCCCATCTTGGGCTTGTTTAGTTTGGAAAGGAGAAAACTAATTATTTCAGTCTTGCCTCATAGCTCATGTTCTCTAGACCTTTAATCATTCTTATTGTTTTTCTCTGGAACTTCTCCAGTGTCTCCACATGTTTCTTGAAATGTGGTGCCCAGAACTGGACACACTACTCCAATTGAGGCCTAATCAGCACATAGTAGAGCGGAAGACTGACTTCTCGTGTCTTGCTCCCAACACTCCTGTTAATGCATCCCAGAATCATGTTGGCTTTTTTTGCAACAGTATCACATTGTTGACTCATATTTAGCTTGTGGTCCACTAAGACCTCTAGATCCCCTAGATTTGTTTCTGTAGTACTCTTTCCTAGACAGTCCCTTCTCATTCTGAAGCAAAAGACAGGACTATGCAGCACTTTAAAGACTTAACAGAATGGTTTATTAGCTGTCGTGGGCCAGACCCACTTCCTCAGATCAAATTGTGGAAGAAAATTGGCATGACTATATATACCAAAGGAATACAATCAAAAAAAGTGAACACATAAAATTGACAAATCAGATTTTAGAACGGGGGGGGAGAAAGGGGAGGGAGGGAGGTTAGTGTCTATGAGATAATGATATTAGGGGTGATGATGACAAAGATAGCTTCCCCAATTATCACCCCTAATATCATTATCTCATAGACACTAACCTCCCTCCCTCCCCTTTCTCCCCCCCCGTTCTAAAATCTGATTTGTCAATTTTATGTGTTCACTTTTTTTGATTGTATTCCTTTGGTATATATAGTCATGCCAATTTTCTTCCACAATTTGATCTGAGGAAGTGGGTCTGGCCCACGACAGCTAATAAACCATTCTGTTAAGTCTTTAAAGTGCTGCATAGTCCTGTCTTTTGCTTCAGAATGAGAAGGGACTGTCTAGGAAAGAGTACTACAGAAACAAATCTAGGGGATCTAGAGGTCTTAGTGGACCACAAGCTAAATATGAGTCAACAATGTGATACTGTTGCAAAAAAAGCCAACATGATTCTGGGATGCATTAACAGGAGTGTTGGGAGCAAGACACGAGAAGTCAGTCTTCCGCTCTACTATGTGCTGATTAGGCCTCAATTGGAGTAGTGTGTCCAGTTCTGGGCACCACATTTCAAGAAACATGTGGAGACACTGGAGCCAGTATAGACGCTCTTTTCCGGCTTTTCTAAAAGCCGGAAAAAAGCGGCGGACATTTTTATTTAAATGCCGCGGGGGATATTTAAATCCCCCGCGGATTTCCCTACTACGATAGCTGAAATTAACATGCCCCTTCCGGAAAAGGGGCCAGTGTAGACGTAGCCTATGTGTGAAACAGATTATTCCTTCCCAAGTGGTTTGTTAGTTACAGTCTTTCCTCTTTGTTTTTCTGTGGATAACTTTTAACAGAGATTACATTTTGGTGGATGTACATCACTCCAAAAATTACACTGAAAGTATCATAAGTAAATAAAACAGCTTACCGTATTTTCCGGCGTATAAGATGACTTTTGATGTTAAAAACATCCCCCAAAAATCGGGGGTCGTCTTATATGCCGGGTATACAGCTTTGCGGCTTTGCAAAGCCTCGGGGGAAGCCGGCGGCGGGGCATCCCAGGCTGCCCCCGAG